CTGAGTCACAGAGAACGAAGGCTTTTCTTTGCAGGTTTTTGACCGTTTCATTTGGTTTTTCACCATTTTTCCACTATATAGCACCCTGTCAGCATTTTACCATTGCACCACAGCATTGTACCAAATTATTGTGAGATATTCTTTTAAGGCAGTTCCTTCATTTTGCAACAACAGGTTTGCTCCTGTAAGCTCGACTAGACAGCTTTAAGTGTTCTTTTTCACCTTCTCGTGCTGCACAATGAAAGACCAGAGTTCGAATGCCCTGAAGCGATCAGTAGAAATAGTGGTAAAGGTTCAATTATCGGCTGCAGAATTACTAGAGCAATCAAGTAGTAAAGAGCACAAGTATCGGTGAGGTAAACTTCATAGCCTCGAGTGGAGAGGACGTGACTGCGTACTCCACTTGAACACGGCATAGTTTACGTTCTTTTTGGGCAACTGTCATCCAGAAAATCTGTCATCTTGTCTTTCCCTTCCAGAAAATTTCAACACATGATTAGTTTGTCATGAATCTGCAACACCCTCTAGATCTCGGAGGGACAAGGAACACTTCAGGTGTAACGCTCGCTCGAAAAACGCTAGTTTCTGTCCCTTTCCTTACCAAAGGAAGAGCGCTGCAGCGTCTGGTCCTTGGAACCTGCTGTTTTTTAGCCTTCTGCCTCCGCGACTGGAAACACTAGGCTTCCTAGACAAAACCCATCAATTGTGAGCTTTCTGAAAATGTAGAAGGGTATTGAAGGCACCGGTCCGCGATAAAAAGCCTAGGTGATTTGCAGAAATGTGGAAGAAAATTCGCCAAGTGAACCGTCTATGAAGAGAAAATGCCAAAGGGAACGTTGGAAACGCATTCGTCAGGCCTCCTCTAGCCTCAAACAACTGTAGAGGTAAAAGGCTCAAAGACCGCGCGCTGGGACGATTCCCGTCGGCTGATTCCCAGTAATGAACCCTATGACTCTACAAGAGACATTGAATGCATCCACTCCATGATACTTGCCCGGGAGCATTACTTTTGGCTGGAAGGCCGACTTTGGAGGCGGAGTCTGGAGGCGGAGTCACTGGAAAAAGGGATGTACCACTGAAGCAACTTTGCGCCTTAATTCCTTTACCGTACAACTTTCCGCCGCGAAACTGGCACAGGGTTGTCCACTCCGGACCGCACTACCTTCCCACATAACCTCTTGCATTTTCATAGGTCATCGCGGACCGTTCCTTTAAAGGCAGTTGGCACGATAAATTCCCCAAGACGAGT